TCTGACAAAGCATCTCTCAAGGGAAGCTTTGGTATTCGTCACCATTTCTTAAGGAGGAAATAGAGGAAAACGCAGAATTCAGGGCAAGAAGCAACCGCTGGTTACGAAACACAGGGTGTTAACTCCTTCTTCCTATTTTACAACTCCTTCAAGCCCAGATGTAGAGACGCTTCCAAGAAAGCCATGAGCAACAAGCACTCAGGTGGACTTTTCTTGCGCAGCCTGGGGGAGCCCAACAGCGTCCCGAGTGATCTAACGCACCCGTTTCCATGCAGAACTGTCCCAGCCCAGCTCTGAAAGGACCAAGGCCAATGAGGAAGAAGGCTCACTGGTGCCTGCTTAAATAAATGCACACAAGATTACTAAATTTCTCTACAATGCTCAAGCTACATGTTTTAATAGAAGAAATTAATTTCTTTTAAGTTGAAGAATCTGCCAGCTGATTCTCCAAGGACTTTTCCAGAAAAAGGTGACTGTCCTCTCGACCACAGCTGATTCTAGGTGACAGCATCCCTGATCACAAAACACGGCTGACAATGACGAGGCTGGTACACACAGTGACATGCGACATTACGCTCAGAGAGGTGGCCATTAAAATATGTATAATGTGGCTTTCCCATGAAGCCAAGGCCCCATCCATATGTGACAACTGTCACCATATCACCAGTTTATATGTGTTCCAAACAAGAGTGGGATAATGAGATAAGGTAACCACAGTCCCTACGTTTATTGAGACTCAATGTCTGAAGTTGGTTTTCTCTGACAGGGTCCGAATTGATGTTTAATTATATCAGATTTGCTAGACAATCAAGACTTCCCCTAGAAGACAACAACACAGAATGCAATTTGTTGGTAAAGGTGCTCTTCTTGGTTCTTACGCAGTGCAGTGTTAATCACTGGAAGTCGCTGTGAACATCGAACATCGTAAGTATAGAGCACCCCCTATGAGGTGATAAGGGATAAGGACAATTTTGTTGCCGCTGGGTTGCGCCATATGCAATTTTTACCACTGTGAACGGCCGAGTAACCATGCACTTCTACTACTCAGAGTGGAGGCCGCGACCAGTCTGGAAGGAGATCACACTGCACGGCCAGAGCAGTCTCTGAGCGATGCAGCCCAAGCCCTCCACTGACAGAAGCCAAAGGATTCCCTCCTTCTCTTGAGGCCAGTGGCACAGGGGTGGTTATCGATGCAATTACGTCTAAATCCAATGACTCTGTCCTCCCGCAAGGGTTCGTTCCAGAGAAATATTTGTCTTATCAGTCTGCACAGTCAACAAAAACAAAACAGAAAGAACTCAATTATATGGGTCTTTTTTACTTAATCCAGTAAATCACAGATGAGATCAGAGATCAAACTGGGCTAAAATAAGCAGAATTTCCTAATAGAGGACTCAACTACCCGTGTACCCCTCCCTGCCAGCTTCATTCCCACTTACATGTGCTGAACAAGTAGGCCATGCGGGCGGGTGCCCTACAAGAATGAGATTTCCAGCGGGCATGGTGGCACACGCCTATAATCCCAGCATTCCAGAGGCTGAGGCAAGAGGATCATTGCAAACTCGAGGCCAGCAGGAGCTACAAAGTGAGCTCAACGCCGGCCTGAACTGCGTAGTGAGACCCTGTTTCAAGAAGACAAAACAAACCAAAACCAAAACAAAACAAAAACAGACTTCCTGAAAGAGCAACTCGGAAAGAAAGCCCGGGCCATTCCGCTCCTTGGTAAACAAGACAATCTTTGAAGAGACTGAGAGACTGCTTAGTCAAACATGCCAGTTTGTGGCTGTCTAAAGCAGCAGCTAGAGATGCCGCTGCGTAGCTGAAGCAGAGCACTTGCCCAGCGTGCATGTGGCTCTGGGTACAAATCCAACCTCCAGTTCCACCCCACTCCACGCCAGGCCAGCAAAGCAGGCAGGAAAATGTCCCCTCTACCAAGCACAGTTTCAAGCAGGCATTCGGGAAAGCTGACCCGAAACAGTAAGGGACAAATGCAGCCGGGCATGGTGGGGCACAGCTGTAATCCCAGCACTCTAGGAGGCTGAGGCATGAGGATCCCAAGTTTGAGTCCAGCACAGAGCAACATAGTGAGACCCTGACTCAGAGTACAAAAAAAGCGGGCAGGGGCTGAGGACATACCTCAGTGAAGAGGCCCTGAGTTCAATCCCTAATACCACCACCACCACAGCAAAAGGCAACACATCTCTCTCCTTCAGAACAAGTCGCATAAACCTGCTATGTTTACTTCAGTGCCGGTCCCCACCCCAACAGCACACTCTCCGTGCCCAACACTGTGAGCGTTCCACTCCTGTGATGGGTCAAAGCATCCTGACAGAGGCCAGCAGAGGCTAAAGACCTCAGTTCCTTTCCACGCTGCCTCCAGCACTGTTCCAGGCTGCTTTACGGGTGAGGGTCACTTTTCCAAAACCCTTTCCTGGTCTTCCAGCGGCTTTGTTTTGACTTTTTAAAGGTCAGCTGGCTTTCATGTAAAATTTCTTTAAAACAAAACACGGCTGACAATGACGAGGCTGGTACACACAGTGACATGCGACATTATGCTCAGAGAGGTGGCCATTAAAATATGTATAATGTGGCTTTCCCCATGAAGCCAAGGCCTCCCTCTAATGTAGTTCATGTATTTCTATTTTCATCTGCTTGTTCACCCTGTGCTGATTTCTAGGTCGCACGCTTGTCAGACACAGCAGCGTGGTGTCCTCACAGCCCAGGGGATAAGACAGAGGAAAGAGGAGGGGAAGGATGAGAAGAGAAGGGGAGGATGGGAAGAGCAGGGCAGGATGGGAAGAACAAGGGATTATGGGAAGAGCAGAGGAGGATGGGAAGTGTAGGGTAAGAACAGGAAGAGGAGGTGGGAGTCACTTGTCTACGTCCTGTCCCCCTGCACCCGCCTCCACCGCTCAAGCACAAAGGCCTTGCTCTCCCAAGTACTGTGCCACAGACTAACAAGGAAAACCTTTGTGCTTACTACTAAAACCAACAAAAAAAAGTCTAACAAAGTTGTTTTTCTCTTTTGCAGGGCTGGGGATGGAACCAGGGCGTCATCTATGTGAGACAAGCATTCTACTACTGAGCTAAACTCCCCAGCTACTTCCTTCAGGTGCTGGCAGCCCCAGAGGTGGCTGTCCTCTCGACCACAGCTGATTCTAGGTGACAGCATCCCTGATCACAAATTCTTCCCTGACTCGCTTTCTTGAAGGAGCTCTATTGGCTCGCATGGCCAACCCAGATGGGAATGGAGAAGATTTAACTCACACAGGGCCCGGATGTGGCTCAAGGGTGGAACACGAGGCCTTGGGTTCAAGCCCCAGTGCTGCAAAACTCACCAGCCAACAAAAAATACCTATCAGCATCAAACTCCATGCAGTGTCCATTGTCCTATTGGAAAGCAATTCCAGGGCTGAGTGTCTCATGCCACAAACATTTCCATCACCAAAGCATAGGAAGGAGGAAGCAGTTTGTCAATTCACCAACAGCACACAGGAAGGCCAAAGCTTTCTTTTGGCCCACATGCTAACCGTCAGCCCCCACGGCCACAGACACGACTGAGAGCATAGCCTAAAGGCTGATCCCTGGGAATCTGAGAAATGGATCCTAGATGCACACAGCAGCTTCTTGCAATGGTCAGCCTGGCAAACTGACTCGTGATTACCAAATGCTGGCTACAGAGCAGAACAGAACACTTAAGGCACGCCAGGTCTGGTGGCACACACCCGTAAACCTGGCACTTGGGAAGCAGATGCAGGAGCGCCACAAGTTCGAGGTCAGCCTCGGATATATAGCGAGTTCAAGGCCAGCCTGAACTACACAGCAAGACCCTGTCTTTAAGAACAAAACCAACAAACCAAAAACATTGAAGGCATGATCATTGCTATTACGGAGGAAAAAAAGTTTTTTTAAATTTTCCAGCACTAGAGACAGAACCCAGAACCTTAGGCCAGAGCTTCCCCTACCCCTTGATGAGACAGGGTTTAGGCTGTCAGCCTGGGCTCAACTTGCCTCTTACCTCAGTTTCCGACAGTGCTGGGACTACAGGGGCCTAGCTAGAGGAAAAAATATTTTTAATCCCCTAATAAAATCTGATACTAAAAACAGATTTTCCCACACCAGATACAAGGTTCACTTATTAAACCAAGCAACAGCAAAGAATGAAGCAAACATAAGGAAGTAATACAGTACACAGCAAGAGATAAAAAGTCACCAAATACTACAGACACTGTGGCTGTCTACTCTCTCACCCATAAAAGTGGCAGAGCCTCCCTGCCCTTAATGGATGTCCATGTCTGGCCCCCTGCCACGTAATCCTACGGGGCCTGTCAACTAAAATATCCCTCCCCATGGGTGCTGGGTCTGGCCATGCAACCTGCTTTGGCCAACAGAAGGTTCATGAGGGTGATGGGTAGATTTTTCAATGCACCTTGGTGGTTTAGCTTGGGACCTAAGCAAAGAAGCACAAAAACCTGCCCCAGGATCCCTGGCCCCAGAACAAAGAGCTACATCATTCAACCAGAACCAGACTTCGCCTTCCTAATTCTAGATCAGCCCACGAGACTCACAGATGGCCTGAACAGTAAGCAAGAAAGAAAGGATTGTAGGTATAAGGCTCTGAATTCAGAGGTTACTGTTTGTTATGTGGCATCAGCAAAAGCTGACTGATACACTACCAAAATATACCATTCAGCCACAATGTCAATAATAGAAATTTTCTATCCTGAAATTCACTTGTCCTGCTTCAGGCTTCTCTTCCTCTAAAACTTATCAGATAATAAAATGACATTTAGAAACAAGTCAGTGGTTCTTTGTCATGGTGGTGGTAAGACCCCGTATAGCCCCAGTTATAAAAGCCACCAGAAAAATACTGACCGCCTATGGTCTTATCAACAAGCCCTTCCTTCATTGTGGGCAGACAGCCTGGAAGTTATACACCATGCATGGCTGGAGAAAATCAGCCTTGGGCCAGGAGCGGAGCTTAACAGCAGAATACTTACTTGCCTGGCATGAGTGAGCCCCTGGATTCCCAGCACTGCAAGAGGGGAGAACAAGGCCAGCCTCCACGTTCGACAGCTTGGAACAGCAAATTCAGTCACACAGACAAGAGGCTGATCCGTTGAGGAAACTAAACCACCTTATGATTCTGCTCCTGTGTCATTCCAAGCTGTGGCTCCCACAAACCTTAGCAAGCAGCCGCTCCCTTGTTGCTCAGCATCCTGGGACCTCCCACGGCCCCCTGGGGAAAGCCATGCTTCCTGGATCTCAGCCCTACAGAGGAGCTCCTCAGGCTCCACCCAAACATGCCACAAGCGCTCGCAGGCGCAGCTGGTGAACCTTCCCCGGGGTTGACCTTTTGGCACAGGAAATCAGGAGAAAAGTGGAGGGAGAGGGGAAAATGACAGTTCGTGCTAGACTGGAAGCTGAACGATATAACACTGCTTCACGAAGAACGCTCCACGTGTGAACAATTTTCCATCTCCACTGTAACCGCACAGCACTGCAGACTGAGTCTCCGGCTGAGTCATCCCTCAACATCTTCCACCTCGACACCCAGCCCCTTAGCCTAACCCTCCTGGACTACCCAGAGTTTTGATAAAATGCTCAGCAAGACATGAGCAGCAACAGGGATGAAATCCGAAGCCATTAGGTCAGAAAAACCACATCAAAAGGCCACACGTGCAGGACAGGAAAATTCAGAGGCAGAAAGACCATCTGTGGTTGCCAGGACGAGGGCATGGAGCACAGGGAGCGACACCCTAGTGGGTACGAGATCTCTCCTGGGGTGACGCAAATCTTCCAGGATCAGGTACAGGTGTGAACTGCACCACTTTGTAAGTATACTGAGAAAGCCCTCAGCCATGCTCTTTCCACGAGCAACTTGTATACATGCTCAAGAAGGCTGTCCGTGTAAAAGAAAATAGAACAGGGTTGGAGGGCAGCTGCGCCCAATGGTAGAGGACACGCTTAGTGTTAGCAGGGGCAGCGCTGTGGCTTCAGTCCTTCATACCAAAACGAAAACAAAAACAAGGTGAAGCAGCATGAACCACGGGACACCGGCCAACGATTACACGCAACCACTAGAGTTTTACAACACTACCACCCAAAGGAGACGAGCCATCTCGCAGAGCCTGGACTCCTCCACCTGAGCCTCTCCACAGTCTGCTGAAGACTCAGACGTGAATGAACAGAGAGGTCAGCAGCGAGACAAAAAGCTGTGGCTGGGGGTGGATCATGGGATGAACTCAGCACCCCGCTGGGAAGACCTAGCGGTCATGATCACACTCGGGAAAACACTCTTCTAGAAAAGAGTCCCGAGCAATGTAAGGCTGCTCTCTCAAATGCAAAGATGATCTTTCCCCAAACTAAAAGAACTACAACAACATGGCCACTGGCTACTGTGGGAAACACTTTCTGCCAACTTGCAGCTGCTCTGGGACCACTTAAGTGTTAGATTAAGCTCCCGGTAAACAACGTGGCACCCTTGGGTTGACTGGTTTGAGAGTGGCTATAGGGGTGGGAAGGAGACGGGGCACCCCCAGCTCAGGCCATGGCTATGGGTATAGGTGCTGACTATACTGCTGGCTACTCCTTCGCAGAAGACCCCCCTGGACAGAGAGGGCAGACTCTCTCTCTCTCTCTCTCTCTGGGCTGGGGTTTGGCTAATACCAGCACCCTGACCCATCCCTCCTGAGTCACCCTTGACATCAGCCACCAGGAAGCCCAACTCAAGCCAAAAGAAAACACACACACACACACACACACACACACACACACACACACACACGAAAATGGGGAGTTTGTCAGTTCAAGCCACAAGTAACACTACATTACAAGGCGTGGTAAGCCCAGCCTGCTGGGGGTTGGTATGGTTTCTATCTCCATGTCCCCCAAAGCCTCATGCACTTAAAAGTGGGGGCCTGACTGGACAACAGCATCTTGTAACTATTAGGAGGTGACATCTGCCCAGAAGGGGTGGTGGCTGGGGGGACGCGGCCCGAAAGGGTCTCACCATGAGGGGAGTATCTGTCCTCCACCCAGCCCCTTCCACCATGCCAACAACTGCCTCCTTTAAACTGTAAAGGTCTTTACTGTGTCTCAGAAGGAAAAAAAAAACTGACTAAGACAGAGGACAAGGCAAGAGGGCTGCAAGTCTGAGCCCAGTCTAGGCAACAGAGTGGCTTAGCAAGACCGTGTCTTAAAATTTAAAAGAAATTTTTTTTTTTTTGTCTTTAAGGGCTTGGATGTAGCTCCATATAAAGGCCCTGGGTTCGATCCCCAGTACCGGGGTGGGGAGGTAAAAATAAAAATAAAAATGGGGCTATCTCAGGCCCCACCATCCTAGACTTACTGAATCAGAAACGCGCAAGGGGAGCCTGGTCCTGTTTTAACACCTCTCTGGGTGGCTGGGTAGCATTATCCTGAACAGTCGGAAACATGCAGGCGGCATCCTAACGTGAGCAACGCACACACAGACTTCTGAGCCTCCAATTCCGCGTGTCCCGCCCGGCAACCCGGAGCTGAACGAATTTGAGCCCAAGTCGCTGTGCTGAGTTTACAAGGCTCAGCAAAGTCACACGTGCGCTGCATGACTTCACAGCAGAGGGGCCATCAGCGGGTGCCTGGGCGAGGTACAGGGGGCAGAAGGAGGGAACAGAACTCTAGGGAGTGATGGAAAGACTCTTTTGACTTTGATCGCGTGCGTTTCACAAATGCGTGTGCACTTTCGTGAAAAAATGATGGCAGAGCACACTTGGAACAGGGCTATTGTACTGTTTCAACCTTAGTAAGCTTATAAAATTAGGAAACAAGTGTGGTAAAAGCACAAGGCTGCCCATGTGCACAGGGCTAGGAAAAGATGTACAGTGTTACATTGTACTCTGGGAGGGCGGCTCACTCCTCCAGAGGTGAGGAGAAGAGATAACTCCGCATAGCTGAGATTCTTTGAAATTAGCATATAATCATGCATTCCCTTGGGGAAAAGAATGCAAGCTTAGAGACGGCAAAGGAAACCAAAGAAGTGCTGGAAGGTGTCTGCGAGGAGGAAGAGGCCCTCCAAGCTACAAATGTAGGCAGCTACTGGGATCAGTGCAGGTGTAGGGAGCAGGCCCTTCAGGAACAGAGAGAGGAGACACTGTTCACACATAAAAGGCCAGGGCCTCCCCCTCAGGTTTCTCTGGCTGCCGTTCTAGCTGCATGGTTTATTTGTAAATGAATACTTCTAAAGGGAGGAGAGTGAGTCATTTTTTTTTTTTTCCTTTAAAGTGAGCTCCAAAGTCTCGTTTATCCTTTGCTTTAGAGAAATAATCCCCACTTCCCTGGCATGCAGGAAGACTGAAAGATGCTCGTGTATCTTTTTGTGAGCCCCATGGGATTCTCATTCCTCCAGCTTCGATAGGTCCTCATGCGACCAGGAGGTTGAAGGCTACAAGGGCCGGTCTCTTAACCTGGCACCAGTGACCTCCAGGTCTGCTCAGTCCCTGCTGAGGGCTGGCGATGCTTGCACTGAAGGACACCCTACTGCCCTCTACCCAGCAGGTGCCAGGCACACCCCAGCCCCATCTGCAACAACCCAAAGTGTCCCCTGGGAGCAAATGTGGTCCCCATTGAACACCACTGATTTATAGAACATCCTGGGCCAGGATCTAGCTTCCTCCTTGCCTAACATGCAAAGTTACGAAGAAGGCGGGCAGGTGACTTCAAGACAAAAGCCAGAAGTGGAAGAGGTGTTTGCCCTGCCGCTGCCTCAACTCCCCCAGGCCGCCCAATGCCGCCATCATGAACTGCTCTCCACTATTCACAGACATCAACAACCACGGCCTCCTTCGTGCCAGATGCTTCCCACAAGATTTGCACTAAGGACCCTGTTATGGTTTGTCTGTGTGTGTCCTCCCAAAGCCTTAGGAGGTCTTGGGGCAGGCTTTTAGAGTTTGATTGATTATGGATGGGAGAGCTACCCCGCCCTGGGGTGGACAGTTTGCATATGTAAGGGAGAGGAAGAGGCTGCTTGCTGCCATTCCTCCCTGGAGTGCTTGTTGCTTTTGCTGTGTTCTGCTGCCATGAGCTGTAGCCCTCTGCCATGTGCCACTCTGCCTTGTAACCTGCCAAGTATGGACTGAAAGCTCCTCAAACTGTAAGCAAAATAAACCTTTCCTTCTTTAATTGTGGGCGTCAGGTATTTTGTCCCAGCAACGAGAGAAAAGCAACCAAGACAGACCCACAGCAAATGCACCGCCCCGATTTTCCAGGTGAGGACACCAAAGCAGGATGCTAATTATCCTGGCCTCCTCCCCATCTCTGAGAATCTGTACCCGGGGTAGGGGTGATCAGTTGGTCAAGCCTCACCATCCGGAAAGCTCAACAACACAGAGACACTCCTCTTTGGCAGCACGATGCTAATCCACAGAAAAGGGAGATTTAGAGAGGAGATGTGGGGAACCTAGGCTCAGACACAGGAGCAGAAGGGCTTTCCTTGGGGGTTGGGAATGTTCAGTGACAGGGTTAGTCACATTTGCACAACTCAGTACATTTACTAAAAAGTACTGAACTGTGCACCTGAAATCAGTGGCGTTTAAGGTGTGTCCTTTATACTTAAATAATGATGTTTAAGGAAATCATCTTGACTTAAAAGTCACACTTAAAAGAGTTCTAAGACTGGCTGGGGACTGCGGGCACAGCTCAGCAGAACAGCGCTTGCAGGAAGGGGCAAAGCCTTGATGTGATCTCCACCCCACCCCAGCAAAAGAAAAAAAAAAAAAAAAAAAACAGGAAAAGAGAAAGTATTCTAAGTGGAATGAAACATTCTCCAAGCTGATTGCTTCTTAGGAACCCAAAGGCAAAGCAAACAGCCATCCGAAAGCAAACCCGAAAGAAACAAAGTAGCCGGCAGCTTTCAAAGGGAACCTGGAGGAGACTACAATATATCCACTTCGACCTACACAAAGCCAAACACTTGCCACCGCCCCAGCCCTGCTGGGGATAGAGAAATTCCACTCTGATGCAGAACTGGGCCACCAGAAACCCAGCCAGAACACATTTGTTGTCCAAATATAGAACACTGAATGGAAAAGCAAACACAACAGGGTATTAGAGAAGGGTGAACATTTACTTTCAGCTAGCAAACCATGAATCGAGCTCAAACT